ACCCCGAGGGGGGACTCAGGGCGGCTTACAAACAACGGCACAATTCGATGCCTGAATCAATAAACAAATAATACCTACAACAATTTAGACAGTTAACAAGTTAAAAACATTAGTACATAATAAAATAGCAAAACAATTTCATGCTCAGTGTTCAGAGTTCCGTATATCCATTCCATTCCATTCGTCCATGTTTGTCGTCAGATCTTCCTTTAGCTGCCAGCATGTCCAAAAGCTTGGTCCCATATCCAGGTCTTCAGTTTTTTCCTGAACGTCAGAAGGGAGGTCACTGATCTAATCTCCCCGGGGAGTGAGTTCCATAGGTGAGGGGCCACCACTGAGAAGGCCCTGCTCCTCGTCCCCGCCAACCTCACTTGTGATAGTGGCGGAGTCGAGAGCAGGGCCTCCCCAGATGATCTTAAATTTCGAGATGGGATGTAGAGGGAGATCCGTTCGGAAAAATACACTGGGCCGGAACCGTATAGGGTTTTGTAGGTCAAAACCAGCACTTTGAATTGTGCTCGGAATTGGATCGGCAGCCAGTGGAGCTGACGCAACAGGGGGGTGGTGAGCTCCCTGTACGCCGCTCCGGTGAGCAATCTGGCTGCTTCTCGCTGGACTAGTTGAAGTTTCCGAGCAGTCTTCAAAGGCAACCCCACGTAGAGTGCGTTGCAGTAATCCAACCGGGATGTGACAAGAGCGTGGACCACCGTGGCCAGAAAGGTGGGAAATATATACTTACCTGCAGCAACCATGTCTGCTCTCCACACCTCGAGAGCTTGGAAAAATTAACTTATGGGCTGCAACTCCCACAATCCTCTAGACAGCAACAATTTAGACAGGGAGGAATTGCTGCCAAGGATGTGTTTGTCCCTTTGAATATGAGGTGTTGTAGTTCTGAATTTTGCCCCTCCACCAGGTTTACATACTTCCCTTCTCTACAAATTATGGTTTAAAAACCAAATGAAGTTGAGCCTTAAAGAATATTAGCTTGACAACTTTCAAAGCAGGATCCATGGTGGCGCAATGGATTAAACCCTTGTGCCAGCTGAAATGCTGATCTGAGGACCTGAAGGTTGGCCATTTGAATCTGTGAGATGGAGCGAGCTCTGGTCTGTCAGCCGCAGGTTCCCATTCGAGGACACGAGAGAAGCCACTCACAGGGTGTCCCCTGGGCAACATTTCTGTAAATGTCCGATTCTCCAGAAGTGACTTGCAGTATTTGCTTCTGACATGATAAAAAAAAGCTTTCAAAGCATACAGAGTTTCTAGTCCTCAGACCTTTGGGAGTTCAGCCTCCACTCATTTATTTTTAAATATAATTTTATATTCCTTTTTAAATATCCCTCCTTTATTTCCATCATGAAAATGAGAAAGTTTACCCAAAATATCATAGTGTGCATGAAAATCCGCAAAGAGTCCTGCAGTTCCAAATCACACTTTTTGAGCAGAAGGGAGATCATAAGGGTGTGATGTGCCATGCCCAGAGCCCAAGTGATAGCAGTCGCCTTCTCTTCCCAGGATTCCCTGCTGCACACTTCAACAGACAGATGTGGAAAAGTTCTCTCTCTTTTAGCTGCTGTAACTTTTAGCCTGGCAAGCTGGCGCTATGCTACCCAAACCTCAGCGTAAACCACATGGAGGTCAGAGGTCTTTTACAAATTGGCACTGACACATGGCGAACAGCTTGTGCAGTGCAGCCTTTGAAGCAGGGGCCTCTCATATTTTATGGTCAGATACACCCGACTGGTGTGAACTCACAGAAACATGGGGGCTTGAAACATAGTACACACGCGCACACAAAGCCTGTTTACCCAGATGTACACCCATCTCCCTTCAGGGCTGGAGAATTATGCCTTGAATATGTTGCACAAATGAATAATAAAAACAAAAGAAAATGACCCTCTTTATGGAAACTCATTTTATGAATAAAACAATTATTCTGGTAATTGAAAAAATGTGTCGTTAAATTAAATGCAGTGGTTCCTATTAAATTTTTAGTGGGTTTCTATTCCTCCCCCCCCCCCCCCGCTTTGCCTTCTCCAAACCCCCCTTTTCCCACTGCTGCTGGCAGTGAAGGGCTGGTAATTATAGCGGAGGGTTTCGTTTTCTCTTTATTGTTTTTTAATCTCTCTCTGTGCCGCACAGCTCCAATGATATTTTGATGTCAAGGAGATTTAGAACAATATCCCTGATGTATGGGGATGTGGGGGGGGGGGGGGAGAGAAAGAGAAGAGGTTGAGAGAACCTCTTCCTTGGTTTGATGGTGCCTGAACATTTGGTTTTTCCCCCCTTTTGAGGGAAATGAAGGCAAAAAGACAGAGACCCACAAACATGGAGGCTAAATTTAGCCAGAAGAAAGCACTTTAACACCCCTTATCCATTTCAGTGGGGATTGTTGTTGAGTGTGATTTCAACACTCCCCCCTCCATATCTCTCACTCTTTGCAACCAGTGTTTTTAACACTTCCGCTCTCCCTTTGAAAGGTGTCTTCACATTTGGATGGATTAAGCCCTTGTTTCAGGTTTTTCTGTGTTCTTTTCAAAATGGCAACTGTGAGAAGAATTGATACTGAGTTTGCAAAACCCTCAGTCTTCAAGGGTGGAAGAGGGGTTGATGGGGATTTCAGTTTCTGCAGTTCCAATAGCCAAACTAACTCCTGCTTTCATAGAAAAGTCACAGCTGAGCAGGTAGATCTAAAAGTAGAGAAGGGTTGGGGAGAGAGATGTGTGTGGAACTATTGGAAGATTATGAAGAAGAAAGACAGAGAAGGACAGACTACTTAGGTCCCAATACTGAGAAAGAAGAGGGGTTTATTATTGCTGCTACTTCTATTGTTGTTGGAGATGCCAGAGTCTGGGGAAACCTGGAAATAACAAAATATAAGAAAAGGTTCCATGCTGAACCCAGGAATGCTGCACATCTCAAAGGTGCTATAACTATGAAATGTGAAAGAGCTCAGGTATCC